GCGGGTGCCTTTTTAAAAAGTTTTTTTTTTTTTTTTTTTTTTTTTTTTTTTAAGATTTTGCCAGAGTGCATATAATTTTGCCAGAGAGAGATAGAAAGGGCAGTGAGTGAAGAAGCACCTCCTCACGGAGCATGGTCATACCAATCCCTTCTCCATTCTCTTTCCTCTTAGGATTTTGGGTGCACATGCACACATTAGGAATGTTTTCCAAGCCACTGGGTCTGGGACTTGAACCATTCAGTTGGTCATGTGGGATCCAGCTACCTTAACCAACTGAACAGATTTTTAAAAGATCAAATTACTTAATTTAGAAGTCAAAGCCTTTGCTAATCTTTCTAAACATATTTCTCTGATCTTAGCTTCCAATATCTCTTACATGTTCTGGCCCAAATAAGCAACTTGTGTCATATCTCATTGCACTTCCTTGCACACACGCTTCCTTTTCACCTGCTTCCACTCACTAAAATCCTGCTCATCTGTACTAGCCGTTTCATATGCCACATCTTTCTGGAAGTCTTCACTGATAATTCTGGGTGGAGCATGGAAATAACTGCTCTTTCAGATCCTGTAGCATGAGGTTTATATGTCTCACCATACCAACCAGACTCATCTACGCTCACATCTTAGCCCTCCCTCCTGGCCTATAAGCTCTGTTCACTTTCTCATCTCCCAGAGCAGTACCAGTAGGCTATGCACACAACTGATGTTCTAAAAAGATTTATTGCAGCTCTTATTCTTCTATTAGCTAATATGTTTTTATAGGTCCTGAGTTCTTTTTTTGCCAATTAATGTATTACTGCAAAGTGTTTGCCCAATCTCTAATGAAAAATGGTCATTCACTCTGTGAAAGCCACGCTTTATCTAAACTAATTTCGAATCTACTTTCTCCTTAATTTGTACTAATAACCCATTTATTACTAACAAAGATTCTTTCCTGGTCTAAGCTTTTAAAGGGGCCCTCTCGAGGTGTGTGCAAGAATTCCTGCTAAGTCAGTTTAGTCAGATTTCCCCATTACCCATATCAAACCAAACTCCTTATCTCCCACAATCCCCTAGTTAAAATCTGATCACACTGATCTGCCTTCAGCAAGAATCCTGCTAAGTCAGTTTAGCAAACAATTATCCTACTTCTTAGCAATTTCGCATCTCCTGATTCCCACCCCTTTCTTTTGCTGTAAAGTATAATTTTTCCTTGGTATATCTGAAGTTGAGCCAAATCTTTCTTGCCTACTGCAAAATCCCATTGTAGTAGTTCCCTTGAATAAAATCTGCCTCACCATCTTTATAAAAAACGACTCATGACAGTTTGTGTGCATGTGCATGACAGAGAGAGAGAAAGCACCCCTGACAGGTCTTGTCATGCCATAATCCCCTTTCCCTAGCCCTCCAGCTCGCCAGGATCTGCATTCAAGCCCAGCATGTTTTAGAGCCAGGGATCAAAACTGGCAGTTAGCAAGGTGGCTTCCAGCAGTACAGCTGATACGGTAGTAACTGAGCCACTGAGGCTGAGCTGTATCTGAATGATAATTTTCATTACTTACTGAACAAGCTGCTTCATAGCAAGAACTGTTAGTTTCTATTGTCCAATAGCTATTTTATTAATTTTCTTTTAAAAATATTAAAGGGAAAAGAGTACCAATCACAATCTCTTCTCTTCATGAAGAGTTCCCTCCTATTAAGTTGTTTCATTTTATTTACCTTTAAATCAGCCTAGGCTGAGGGGACAATCATATACTTAAAAGTGTTTCATAACTTACAGCAACACAAACACTGTAATAATGAGATTTCTATCATCAGGAAAAAAAATTAGTGTTTTAAAAAAAGTGGTACATTGGAGCCAGTAGATGGTATTGTGGTTACAGTGCTGGACTCCCACATGGCCTACTGCAGTTTGAGTCCCAGACCTGGCAGCTTGAATATCATGCTGGGTGCATATGTGTGCATACCCAAAATTCCAGAAGAGAAGGGATCGAGTCATAGCCATCCCCTCTGAGAGGTGATTTCTCACTTTCCCTCTCACTGTTTCTCCCTCTGGCGAGTGTATATGCCTTAAGGCAAAAATCTAAAAAAAAAAAAAAAAAAAAGGGGTACGTAAAACAAAGATAAGTCTTTCTGGTTTAAATGTATTTCCGACTTTTCCTTGCCCTGTTTAAAATAAAGGACCACACTGCTTAGTTTAGATCTTGTCTAAACAAAACTTCCCTCCATCTTCGTTTCTTTCCATGAAGAAATCTGGGTTATGACTGATATCACTGACCATGCTGTAAGGGATGGCTGAGCTCAGCTGCAGTGGCACAAGCAGTGTACCAGCAATGCTGGAAGCCATGTGAGAGATCACACTTTGGTTCTTGAGCTAATCGATATGAGTTGGTTACATAAGTGCACGCTCATGATCCTGGCTGGCTTAGAGGGTTAGGAGGAGGAATGTTGTATTATGAGACCATGTCGGGGTATCTATCTTTTTCTCTTATGAAATGAGACGGAACTCTATTTTGAACTCCTCTCTACACTAGAAACTTGCCTTTTCCTTTTGCCTAAATAGAGTGGTTAACATTCCTACTGTCTTTGCTAAATAACCAGAAACCTCCTATCCTAAAACATTTCTTAGTGATGTAATCATCAAGAATTGCCCTGATCTATGAAGACCTTAAGATTCCATTATGTTTGTGTAAGGACTAGAAAGTCTCCAACCCTAAAAATGCCCCAGGTAACTGTGCTTAATTTTGCTTCTGCAAGGTCACTCCTTCCCCTTGTCACCTTTCCCTCAACGGTTACTGCTCCTGCCAGGTCAACCTGAATGTAGGTTTTGCCTTTATAAGCCCCCTTCTCCCTACACTTGGGGCTGTGGGGAAAGACATGAGTCCTCCCGTATACTACTGGCTTAATCAATGTAGACGGATTAGACAACAACAGAAAATAATAAACAAACAAGCAAACAAACAAATAAGTAAATAAATGTAAATCGAAGTGAGATGGTTGATAAGTGATCTACCACCAGTTTATGCTTTACTTTTTTTTTTAGATCTGCACATTGTCACCAATATTTTAATAAAGTCTAAAAAGATTATAGGTTTAATTTGGATTGAATAAAAAATGATCAGGAGTAAACAAATAGAAAATTAAAAAGCTAAAACCAAAATTTGATTAAGTACCAGGCACTTTGTACATACTGTTGCAATCAATCAAGTAGAAACTCTTATACTCACTGTTCATATGAGGAAAGTAAAGTTTAATGTTTGACCAATAACTTCATGAATGTCACTGAACTGGCCAGTTTGGCCTGGCCTCAAATACATCTTCTACTCTACTGCCTGAAGCTCAGCTTCAAGATTTCAAGTAGCTTAAGTAGTTAATTAATTAATTTTTCATATGATCTACATCAAGCTAAAAGGAATGTAAAATCATAAAGTCAGTTTGAGAATCTTCTTACAATTAAAAAAATAAATAAGATTTGAGAATGAATCCTTCATCCTAGTCAACTTGGCAGTAAGCTTAGTGTCATTGTTCTTATTTCTTTATATAAGCCCAAAGGCAAAGAGGAAAAATTAGTCTTTTATAAAGGGTTTTCTTCATAAACCATCATGCTGACAAATTAAATGACAGTAACCTCTCTCAACAGCTGACAGCCTAGCAGGGGTCCTGTTAACATGCACATTAGGGCAGACTGATTGGTTTAATTGGCAGTCATGCCTAAAAACCTGCAGAGGAATTGATGCTGAATGAATCCTTCCCTTCAGCAATATTCAGCAGTTAGAATGCAGCAATGCAAACCAAAGGCTCTTAAAGTTGTTCTATTTATTGTTGAAACCAACCGACCAAGTGATTACTTTCATTTTATTTTCTAAAACTGTGCTCTTTCACTGAAAGCCATCATTTAAAAGTGCTTAAAAGAAAAGATTTCTTACCAAATTTTCCCATATCTCAAATCGGAAGGAATTCGGGGCAGACAATGTCGTGAGGAATATATCTAGAAGGAAAATAATAGAAATGTTAAGTTTTGTAGACATGCCAATGTGTACATTGAAAAACAGGAAGAAATGTAATACATAAAAAGAATTATTAATGAAATTCTACCTAAATATGGTTGAAACTATATTTTAATAAGCTTGATCTCATCAAAAAAGATAGCAAATGATCCTAAACTGGTACAATTTAGAAAAATGTGTTTAAAGGGCACATGTGGTATTAGTCCCACAAAAAGCATTCTTTATTTTCAAGAACTATGACTAGTAGTAGTACTTTTTTTAAGAAAAGTATATTTACTCATTTTTTTCCCAAGAGAGACAGACATTCAGCATTTCCCATAGAGTCTTCATACCATAATCTACCCCAAGTCTTTTTTTTTTTTTTGAGAAATTTTTGCTATAGGGCATGTACACTCGCCAGAAAGAGAGAGACAGAGAGACAGAAAGCAAGAAATCACTCCCCGGGGGGATGGCCATACCGCAATCCCTTCTCCTCCATTCCCCTCTCGGGATCTTGGGCATGCACACAGATGCACTGGCATAAGTTTAAGCCACTGGGTCCAGGACTGGAACCACGGTCGACTACATGGGAGTCCAGTGATATATCCATTACGCCATCTGTTGGTCCTGCTCTACCCCAAGTCTTAGTCAGCCCAGATCACAGAGAACATATGCATGGACCCAGCTCACCGTGTGCACAGAGGCCTTGGGATGTGAACCTAGGACTTTCCTATATGGGTCCAGCTTCACAGAGCATTGCGTTACTCCTAGACCACGAGCCAGCCACTTATGTCTTTTTTTTTCTTTCATTTTTCCTTTTAATTTTTTAAAGTTTACTTGTTTCTTTCTTTTATGAGAAAGAGAGAGAAACAGAAACAGTCACCTCAAACAGGGTCTTTATGTTGTGATCCACCTCCAGTCTCAGCCCAGGTGACAGATGGGTACACATGGATGTGCCTGGGGTGCTCAGGAAGGGTCCTGGGACACGAACCAAGGTCTTTCCCATGTGGATACAGTTGTGTTACCTCTGCACCACTGCCTGGTAACCTCTACACATTTTTTAATCTTTCTTATTCCAACGTGCACTACATTTTTAAAGAGGTATTTTTATTTATTTATTTTTTTTAGAGATTTTTGCTCTAGGATGCGTGCACTTGCCAGAGAGACAGAAATTGAGAACTCTTCCCCCAGGGGAATGGCCACACTGCAATCCCTCCTCCTCCATTTTCCTCTCAGGATTGTGGGTACACATGCACATGTACTCGGTGTGCACTGTAAGTCTCTAGGTCCAGGACTCAAACCGCAGTTGACTATGTGGGAGTCCAGCGATGTAACCATTTAGACATCTGCTGGTCCCTAAAAAAGATATTCTGATCATAATTACAGTTTGCTTTTTCAGCCTAAAAGGAAAACTTGTTTATATATAAAGGCAAGTTTCAGCATTATTTTAAATCAAACTATTTCAGTATCTAAAATCTTTAGCAATAATGGGCAAAAAATTAAATGAGCAATAAATTATGTTTTGAACTTTGAGTAATAGAAGAATAGTCTTCATAAATTCTAACTAAAAAAAAATTACCGTATTGGAAAGTACAGGAATTTTAATAAAATTTCTTAAAAAAAATAGGTTGACAGTCAAATCAAACATCCTATTAATGCAAGGGCCAGCTGAACTACAAATTTATTCTCGTAATATCATTTATTATAATGTTTGCATAATAGCAATTTTACTTAATGAATATAATAAAGTTTTAAAATAATGAGTTTCCTCATGGGAATATTAAAATGACACTACTCTTCAATGGTTTAAAAAGTGGAAATTATTCAAAGTAATGTGAGACCATGACTATATTTTAAAAGGATATTTTCCTTCACATTAAACCTGCTTAGAAAACTATCATTCACATTTTAATGTGTTTTCTGTAAGGATTTCATATTAATTTAATGAAGCTAATTTATGTATTAATTGTAAAAATAGCGATTTTTGTAGAACCTCCAGAAAGCTAAGTAATTAGTTCACTTTTGTAGTTAGTTGAACTCAAAATTCCTGATTCCAGATAGAACCATTCTTATGTCCACATATCAGATATCTACATCTATTTCCACCACACTGAAGATACTTCCTATAGACATAGAATTGTAGTATTTTATGAAGATGATTATTTCTTTATCATTATGTATGCACTCCCAATGAAGAATAGGAGTATGCTCTTTCATACTCTTCTAAGAAAATCCCGAGCAATATCTAAGATTTAGGTGATGATATTCCTACTGCCAATCCCTTGCCATTCTCCCTGGTAGCCGTTGTATTGAAAGAGAAAAGTGTAAAATTTGACCTCCTCTTCCTCTTGGATGCAGGCAAACCCCTCATCTGAATGCTGCCTTACATATGTTTCCAGGCTCTTTCCC